CTCAGCGTACCGGAGGCCCGGTCTTCGACCAGGCCTCCTGGTTGCTGGACTAATCAACCAGGCTGTTGGACGCGGCTGCTCGCAGCCTGACTTATGAATCACAGCCTAGTTGGTCAGGTATCCTTTGGAGGTGTTTATCAAGTTCTCTCTTTAACACCAACAACCAACTGTCAACGGTCAACAACCAACACCATCAACACCATTCTTTATATAAAGAATATATAACACAAAAAACGGGGCGAGAATAGCTTGAGCTACCTCATCCCTTTGTGCGTATTTTACCTCAATAAACTTATTTCAATCTCAAACACAAGACGCTACAGAGCAGAGAGCTTATTCCGGCCATACTCGAGCTATCCGCTCTCATCCTGCGTTGGAGCTCTACGCTCTAGTTCCACATTCACGCTCTCTACCTACAGCTCCCAGCATCCTCGTCTCGGCTGTCATGACACGTCGTTACAACACTTGAGTATTGTAACCAAGATTGTATTAAATAAACATCAAAATCCACCATACCCTCAGAGTCTTGTCCTGTAGGAACCGACCTGTGAGATTTATATTTATTTAATTTATATGAGTTTATATAGAATTTACGTTAATTTATATATTTCGATAGCAATTTGTATGATGTTTAGCGGACTGTATTTCTGCAATAATCTCACAAATCGATCCTTACATTAGGGGGGGGGGGTTATATTACATTTATATATATATATGCAGCCAATCAAACTACAGTATTAAACTACATATATTAGTTAATAAAATTGGAGGTGCCTTGGCTTATTGTATAGCAGGCTTAGTCCACCAGGTATAACTAGGATGTAGACACCAAATTATCCTCGTGAGAGGCTAGCTTCCATCACCCAAGTAACTGATGTACCAAGATTAATTCTTGCATCTTCTTCTTGTTCCTGTCAAAGGGCACTAGCCGTAAAGCCGGAATCCTAATATATGACAGCTATATCAGATGAAACTTTTATATATTATTAGATAAGGACTAATTACCTGTGCTTAGTGGCTTGTTCGCGTCCTAACCGGTTCGCCCTTTATCTACTTAATATTAACTGGCCAGAAATGATTAGATAGACGGATTTCGGTAACACACTTCCCTTGTTCAGTTGCCCTCAAGCTAGAGGAGGAGTAATGGTGTCGGGTTTTCCGACATGTCCCCCAAAATCGTCTGTTACAGGTACTTAAAAAAAATTTAACTCAAAAATATGGAAAATTGAGAAATCTAGCAGCATGGCCAACTATTTCGCCTAGGTTATAAAAATAGCCTCAAAAAAGCCTCATCGTTATTGGGGAATTGTTTAGCGTTAATTTTTGTATTTGCTTTTGTATTAACTTTAAACATAAAATACTTGTATATCATCGCATAATTGATCTTAACTTTGTCAGTGGGCATAGGAACGTAATGTCAACTATTGTTCTGATATCATTCTGGCGGTTTCTAAGAGTTATTTGACATTGGTAGGAGCCAGGAAATAGTGTAATTACCACCGAGGAAAGAAGATACCACACCAACTAACACTTCCCAGCACCCGTCTGCCTCCACTTGACACCTCATATTAGCTCCCCACCACAACAGCACTCCCTCCTCGCCTCACCACCACAACAGCACTACCTCCTCGCCTCACCACCACAACAGCACTACCTCCTCGCCTCACCACCACAACAGCACTACCTCCTCGCCTCACCACCACAACAGCACTACCTCCTCGCCTCACCACCACAACAGCACTCCCTCCTCGCCTCACCACCACAACAGCACTCCCTCTTCGCCTCACCACCACAACAGCACTCCCTCTTCGCCTCACCACCACAACAGCACTCCCTCTTCGCCTCACCACCACAACAGCACTCCCTCTTCGCCTCACCACCACAACAGCACTCCCTCCTCGCCTCACCACCACAACAGCACTACCTCCTCGCCTCACCACCACAACAGCCCTACCTCCTCGCCTCACCACCACAACAGCACTACCTCCTCGCCTCACCACCACAACAGCACTACCTCCTCGCCTCACCACCACAACAGCACTACCTCCTCGCCTCACCACCACAACAGCACTACCTCCTCGCCTCACCACCACAACAGCACTACCTCCTCGCCTCACCACCACAACAGCACTACCTCCTCGCCTCACCACCACAACAGCACTACCTCCTCGCCTCACCACCACAACAGCACTACCTCCTCGCCTCACCACCACCACAGCACCACCACCTATCCCATCACCGCAACTGTTGTCACCGAAAAAGTGTGTATATTTAGCTAAAAAATGTATTGAGTATTGTCTTTCCAGCATATGAGACCCAACCACTTGGGCTGGACGGTAGAGCGACGGTCTCGCTTCATGCAGGTCGGCGTTCAATCCCCGACCGTCCAAGTAGTTGGTCACCACTCCTTACCCCCCTCCCCCCCTTGTCCCATCCCATATCTTTATCCTGTTCCCTCCCCAGTGCTATATAGTCGTAATGACTTAGCGCGCTCTCCTGATAGTACACACGTTCCAGCATATGAGTAGTGACTAGTGTTGTGGTGGAAGTCGCCATTAGTGCTCGAGGAGCTTCACGGAGGTAGATGATGTAACGGGATCTTACTTAATGTGGGCCATCATGGTTGGAAACTGAGATTTGTACATGATACATGTACTGTCATATGTTATATCAATGTAAATATTAATATAGATCATCAGACTCCGACCAGTCTCTCTGGGGCGTACCGTTCGGCTCTTGACACAATGAATTTATAAATGAAAGGTTATTGAAGCCCAATTGTTATTTAGAGTATTAAGTATGAAACTTTTTGCATTCAATAGCTAATTCACAGTTTCTCAGTATCGGGAGTTTCTTAACCTGACTACCAAGCCAGGAGACTGCTAACCACCTTCCGGACCATACCGGTCCATACCTTGGCCCAGCCCGGTCCACACAATGGATCTAAACCTGGTCCACATAACACAACCATCCTATCCCTACCTCAGTATTCATACAAGTCATCTCCGGGATTAATCAGACATTACTGACCCATACTTACACACCACAATGATTCGACTTGTACAGTCGAATAAGCTGGCCCATATTCAGCTCTGGGGCCCTGGTCCACCCCAGTACTCAGCTCCGGGGACCTGGTCCACCCCAGTACTCAGCTCCGGGACCCTGGTCCACCCCAGTACTCAGCTCTGGGGCCCTGGTCCACCCCCAGTACTCAGCTCCGGGACCCTGGTCCACCCCAGTACTTCAGCAGGGGACTTCTCGGACCCTCGCTCCGCCTCGACTCTCAGCTCCAAGGTCCGGACCAGAGTGCCAGAATGACCCCTAATGTACCCGTCTTGTCATTATAAAAACCTGGTAACTGCTGAAACTTGAGGCCATGTGTGAGTGTACACCGGCCGCACCCTGAGTCACCGTAATCATTGCTACCAGACAAAACTCGAATTTGCTTGTCTCAACAATATCTCAAGGCCTGCGTCTTGACAAAGGGTGCGACCTTATCAGGTCAATTAACAGTCTAGTATGATTAAGGTGCCATCTTGCATCCCCCCCCAAAGACTTGACGTCCATTAATCTCTTCGAGGGCCGATTGCTGCACCTGCCTTCCCCTTACACCCCCCCCCCCACACACACACACACACACCACATCTGTGAAATGAACATCACGACACTGGAAGACAGAAGAGTGAGGGGAGACATAATCACTACCTACAAAATCCTCAGGGGGAATTGACAGGGTAGACAAGGATAAACTATTCAACACGGGTGGTACATGAACAAGGGAACACAGGTGGAAACTGCGTTCCCAAATGAGCCACAGGGACGTTAGAAAGAACTTTTTCAGTGTCAGAGTAGTTAACAGATGGAATGCATTAGGCAGTGATGTGGTGGAGGCTGACTCCATACACAGTTTTAAATGTAGATATGATAGAGCCCAGTAGGCTCAGGAATCTGTACACCAGTTGATTAACAGTTGAGAGGCGGGACCAAAGAGCCAAAGATCAACCCCCGCAAGCACAAATAGGCGAGTACACAACCCCCCCCCACAAACACAACCTCCTCCCCCCACACACACAACCTCCCACACACACAACCCCCCTACTGGGGACACTATCACTGCCCCCTCTTCCCAGCTTACATTTCTCTCCTTCTACACTGCTGGCCTCCTATACACCTATTCATACTCCCATCAACAAATTGCCATGGTAGATTTGAGTGTTCTTTTCTCCCTTGCTTCTAGTACGTCGGAACATTGGGGAAAATATGTGACTCAGAGAGATTTCATGAAGATTTATTTTAGTGTAATGTCTAACTTAATTATCATTATTCTTGCTTACAGTGCGAGTCGGAAGTGAGGACATCTATTTTTCTGCAATGATCTGATCTGTCCAAATAGAATAGTCTGGTTTTCTTTGCAGATATCCTTGGTATAGATGGAAATAACTCGTGATCTCACTTTATTGTTTCCATGTATTCATTTTATCCCCACTTTCTCAGTACAGTATCTGCAATATTTGCATACATGCACTGTCTTACTCATGTGGCTAATCATTTCCTCTTCCTCTCCAGAACACCGTGATCACCACTACAGCAGACGAGCACATCCACAGCGGCGGTACCCTGGGTGATCTCGTCCACGAGTGACACTTAGTCTTTGATTAACTACCTGGTCCCTTAGGCAGTGGAGGTGGTGGCAGCCTCTTATCGCAGTCGTTGACTCCCTTACTTCACCAAGCCAAGTATGTGCCCCAATTCTGAAATTTTTCTCTTAGAACGAAAGTAAATCCACCTGCCTACTAAATTTAAGTAAACCTGCTAATGATCTTAGTAGTTAGAAATTTATCATTCTGCTTATATAATCCCAGTGAAGATGTTCCATGTTGATGTGTATGGGAATAACCTGGCCGTGTGCTGTAATTATTTTGTTTTAGGCGTAACTCCATGGGCGTGGCATATTTCTGTATCCCCCTTCTTTCAGCGTGATCTTAGAAGGGTGATTGAGTGTGACCCAGGCGAGCATGTATTCCTTCAACAGCATGCAGCCTCACCGGGGGCGTCCTGTAGTCTTGTGGACCTCAGTCGATTTTCAGCGTATGCAACCCCGGTTACAATTTGTTGTGGTGTGCGGTTTTAAGATTTTGTTTTGTAGGCTCGAGATTGTGTCTGCATGTGTCTGTGAAAGTCTGTGCATGTGTTGGTCAGTGTTAATGGTAATGCATATATCTTTGTTATTATTAATTAATTCACTATTTTTTTTTACTGTAGATGATATTTGTCTTCCATCAATTGTGGTTCCTTAATTCATCAAAATATATTATTTATTATACTTATGCACTAACTGTTGCTTAGTAATTCCTAATATGTCAAAAGCGTTTATTATAGCAGATTCAACTTTCATTTCAGCATTAAATCCAGTGACATATTATTGGTTTCCATGTAATATAAAGTTTATTGCAGGCCCAGTAACATAAATGGATTGAAAGTAACTTGTGAGACAAGGTTTGAATCTCATTGCACAAGTCTAATTAGGTTCTAACACTAAAACCAGTTTTGAATGTAATGAAATTCAAATTTCTGGGTGAGCCCCGTTGGTTCTCTGAAGCTACTATCTTTGATAGTGCTATGCTGTTAGGCGCCATCAGTCACGGAGTTCTATTGGCCTACTGGGGATCAGAGCCAAAACCTGGATTTCCTTCGAAAGAGGAGGTACAGGGAGCAGTGTCACTTATAATAAAATTACTATGATTTTTGTCCATGTCTGCCACCAATACTAGGGAAGCACCCTGAAAGTTATTCAACAGATTAGAGTACTGCTGGTTATAAGCTAGACTGCAGCCTCGAGAACCTCCAAAAGAACTCTCCCAACCATGTAAACAATCGAGAATTCACGAAACTAGCGCTAGCACATTCGCCCCACCTCCCCCTCGTTTGAGAGAGGCAGCCCGGGTTTTGCCAGCTGCTCCACCCTCAGTTCTATGAAGATGGGAACAACCCCGACGCCCTGGATTGTCAGGGCTCGCTCAGAAATTGGTGTTTCATTGCATTTAACGCTGGTTTTCTATTGGGAGTCCCTTATGTCTCCCTGAAGCTATCTACCCATGGAGAAGGAACAAAGGAGCACTAACCAGGGACACCATAACAAAACTAGAAAAAAAAGACACACACAGGCACTGGGGACCGGGGACAAAGGACCCTGAGGTGCCATACCACGGGTTCACCCTGAAAGCCCCTTGCACCCTAAAAGTAACTTACGCCAAAACCACAAGGACAATCAAGAGAACAGAACATAAATAGCAAACAACACAGGCACATGGACAGACTGTAGGCCAGCCGGACAGAACGACCCTTTGAAACCTGCGAGGCACACACCTCAAGCAAACACAAGACCGCCAGTGTCCAGACACAGTTGAGCCTAGCCCTAGGCCTGGCTTGGAGTAGAACTCGTGAAACCCTCTCCAGGTAAATGCCAGGTAACTTGTTAGAGCCCCAAAACCCCCACACCCAAAAAGTAGTCCAGAATATGTTTGCAAAGCCAGCCGAGAAGCGCCAAAGGATGAACATCAAGGACACCAGTGAAGGCCACGGGCTGACGAGACTGAATGACACCTGCAAACAAAAAAGTGAACAACGAAACTGGAAACTCAGGTGGTAGGAAATCCCACAAAATGCCCACTGAGGCAGAACCGACAGCATAAATGACGTGGCAACCCCGCCACCGAAAACAACACAAGGGAAAGCCCCTGGCTGAAGGAACCAAGCAAAAAGAGACCAGGTGACTCCACAGGAAGCCAACCGAGCTGAACTCACCAGAAAGAAAGAAAGCCATTGTAACGGGGGGTGGGGGAAACAGCTCTATCTTGTCCATTATTCCAACCCCCCCCCCCCAGTTAACTAACGAGGCCGGGGGAAACAGCTCTCTAGTCCGTTATCCCGCCCCCAGTTAGCTAACTATTCTAGAGCACTCCCAGAGTTCCTAAGGCAACCTCTCTCGTTCAACTCCTTGTAACCTAGGTATTTGACTACCTAGGTGCTAAGACTACAAGGCGCCGTAACTTGATCAGCTATACCCGAAACTCTAGAGAGAACTCTAGAATACATTTCACTGCCATAAACGTATAAGAGAAAACGAAAGGAAAGAAATGAATACTAGTAGTGAAGTAAGTAGTGAGGGTTTGGGGTGAGAGGTAGAGAGGTGGGAGGAGCGAGGAGGGTCATTAGTTGAAAGTGAGAGTTTAGAGAGGGGTGGAGGGAGAGGAGTAGATAGGTAGAAGTAGAAGAGTAGATAGTAGAAGAAGAAATGCTGCCACCATCCATTCAAGACCATTATATACAAGACAAGGAATGGAACTTGTCTGTATCACAATATTCACAAAAGATGTTATCAAGAGGTCATTATTAGTATGTCCCATCTTTATCATGTACTCATTAAATCATGAAACCAGTAATCACAGAGGCTTTCTCACCTCAACTCACAAACTCTAGGGAACCAAGTTAAAGGCCATTTAAATAATAACTTCAATTATATTTCACATGATAACTATCATAATTTAAGCAATTCAAATGTTCCAGTTTAATATGCAAAGTGAGTCATCATCCAAGAATTTGAGAACCCTACAACTTGACTGCCCCTGATCATCACACAACATGTGTACACACGACCAAGTCACCTTAATGTTCAACTCACCAAGTGTCTGCCTATAGCTGGATAGAGGGGGGGGGTGGTGTCTGTAGTTGACAGACTGTCCCGCCCTGCCGGCCGACAGCCTCCCTGCTAGGCCATCTTCTCTGCTCTGCTGGCTGCTGTTCTCTTAATGCTCTCGAATCGATAGCTCTCCGAGTATATATGGGGGAACTTAGTAACTAACTCCGCCCACAAGTAGATAGCCTCAGGCGTTCTACCAAGCCACTCCTTAAAAGTCGGCATGTTTGAAGGCTACCAGGCTCCAATTATAAGATTAGCAGAAGCAAGGTGAAATTCGCATGATCTGACCTCAGGTCACTTGAGGTTATTAACTCTTAGAGGTGTGACTTTCCAGCCGACAAACTGGCGCCTTCTCAAATTCCTGTCTGTGACTCGTGTATCTATGTATTTTAAATACAACTAAACCAAACACTTTTACAGTGTTACACCATCAGCAACAAACGACCGCCCATTACAGCTGAAAAAAGAAAACCCCCAGTGCTGGAGGAGACCAAGCAGCTTGTTAACTTGATCACTAGACACAGAAATAAGCCCAGACCAAAGGGACACCAGACACTGAGTGAAAGAAAGAAAAAAATAGTCAAGAGATGAACAAGCAATTGTGGTGTAAGAGCAGGCCGAGAGCGCACAACACAGCATTTGATATGGAGCTGAGACAGTATGACCCAAATGCAAGCTGTCGTGGCTCTGCCAATGCCACATGAAAAGATGCGACAACATACATCAGAAGATGCTGGGCAAGAAAAAAATATATGGAAAGAACACAAAAACAGAAGGATTATTAAGAAGGGAAAGAAAGTGGCATAAAAGTGCCACGACCCACACCATCACCATAAAAAACCATAGGTGGAACACCTTCATGAAGCCACCTAACCACTGCAGAGATGACATAGGTGATTTTGACATACAAACATGTCAAAAGACCAGGGGCCAGATTCACGAAGCAGTTACGAAAGTACTGACGAATGTGTACATCTTTCCTCAATCTTTGACGGCTTTGATTACATTTATTAAACAGTTTACAAGCATGGAAACATCCCAATCAACTGTTGTTATTGTTATAAACAGCCTTCTGGTACCTTGAAGCTCATTAACTGTTTAATAATTGTAAGCAAAGCCACCAAAGATTGAGAAAAGATGGACAGGTTCGTAAGTGCTTGCATAACTGCTTCGTGAATCTGGCCCCAGATGCGAACGGCAGAGAAGAAGGATGAGCCAGCAAAAACAAACACTGGTCTGACCCAATGAAAGGCATAGTCACGGAAAACACCCAGGTTTGGAACCGAAGAGAAGTGCCCAAACAGAGACAAGTCAGCCACCAGAGAGCTGGGAAAACTCCAGGGGCAGACCAAAACCCCCAGACAGGAACAGGAGCCACAACCAGCCCAGGAGTAAAGACACTGGACCCGGCCCCCAAATGAGACCCCCCCCCCCACACACACACACACACACACACACACACAGCTTGTTAACTTGTTAACTCCTAACTGGGGTTAGGTATGATAGGGAAATGGGACAGGAGTCATTGCTGTAAGCAACCGATAGCTGGAAAGGTGGGATCCAAGAGTCAATGCTCAATCCTGCAAGCACAAATAGGTGAGTACAAATAGGTGAGTACACACACACTCACTCACTCACTCTCTCTCTCTCACTCACACTCACTCACTCACACTCTTGAGGCTTCAAGAAGACCTAGACAAACTAAAGGAATGGTCGAACAAATGGTTGTTAGAGTTTAACCCAAGCAAATGTAATGTAATGAAGATATGTGTAGGGAGCAGGAGGCCAGTTACAAGGTATCATTTGGGAGATGAAATTCTTCAAGAGTCAGAGAGAGAGAAAGACCTGGGGGTTGATATCACACCAGACCTGTCCCCTGAAGCCCATATCAAGAGGATAACACCAGCAGCATATGCCAGGTTGGCTAACATAAGAATGGCATTTAGACACTTGTGCAAGGATTCATTCAGAACTTTGTATACCACCTATGTCAGACCAATCCTGAAGTATGCAGCCCCAGCATGGAGTCCATATCTAGTCAAGCATAAGACCAAAACTGGAAAAAGTTCAAAGGTTTGCCACCAGACTAGTACCCGGGCTGAGAGGTATGAGCTACGAGGAGAGACTACGGGAATTAAACCTCACGTTGCTAGAAGACAGAAGAGTTAGGGGGGATATGATCACCCACATACAAGATTCTCAGAGGAATTGACAGGGTAAATAAAGACAGGCTATTTAACACAAGGAGACACAGGTAGAAATTGAGTGCCCAAATGAGCTACAGAGATATTAGAAAATTTTTTTTTAGTGTCAGAGTGGTTGACAAATGGAATGCATTAGGCAGTGATTGTGCATTGCACTAGGCAGAACGCACCAAAAAAAGGGAGGG